CCCAACAATCAGCTGACCCCCTTTGACCAAGTGGGAAGGAAAAACTCCCTTTGAACAGGAAGAAACCTTTTAAACGTGAAGCTGGCAGAATTACCCTGAGCCTGGTTCTGGCGGCTCCAACTTTATCATGTGACAAAGCCCCCCCCCCAAGAAAAAGAACTGATGCAGCGGGGATGTATTTTTTGAGCATTTATTCAGAATTTGAAATGTTTTTTTGTTTGTTCCATGTGCTGTGCTTGTCCAGCTGGCCCAGATCGTTTAAAATTGTCAACCACTACAATATAGAAAAACATTCATGTCCCACTTGTTTATTATTATTATTGTTTATCACGTATATAAAATAATGTCCCCGTGTTTGTTTTAGGTTATCTGAATGAGAACGGTCACTTAAACCTCAGAAACTTTGAGAAATACCTGGAGAAGCTTGCTGAGGTGAGACACTCGTTTCTATTTAAGGGTCGTTCATTTTAACATCAAATCCCGTACACTAAATGTAAATAAATGTACTCTTTCCCCCCCCATGTCTTGCCAGTTTGACCGGGAACATTTTAATGAGGTCTTTGTGGATTTGAAGTGGTTTGAAAGCAAAGTTGGGAACAAATATCTGAATGAAGCTGCTGGACTGGCAGCTGAGAGGGAAGCTGCCAGCAAAGACGGCAGAAAGAACGAGGTAGGGATGCAGCGCTGAAAATATGCATCGTGTCTTTCAGCATTGTTTTCATGTCTGTTTCTTTCCAGTGATTGACTTTTTCAAAACATATCTGTAGGATTCTGCTCTCTGTCTGGCTTCCCTGACTACATCAGAGAAAGTCACCGGAGAGGAAAAAGCAGCGGCAGCAGATGATGAAGAGGAGGAGGATGATATCTTTGAAACGGAGTTCAGACAGTACAAACGCACATACTACATGAGCAAGATCGGCGTGGACGTGGTGTCTGAGTGAGCGAACTTATACAGACGCATACAAAAAGCAAATTATGGGAAGAAAAACATAAAAGTGTTTGGGACACGTTTGAGTTGGAAGAAGTTTGACTCTTTTCATTGTTTCACTTCACCTCTTTGTTTGTTGTGTCTTCGTTCAGTGACTTGCAGAGACAGAGTGAAGTTATAATGACCAGTGTTCAATAATCTAGATAAATGATTGGTCATCACTCACCACTCCCCTTTTTTTTAATAAAGTGTTCACCAGCACAAAAACAAAACTTTGAGACTGAAATTTTCATGTCAGTCTTTTAAAGTTCTTGTATTTCGTGCACTAAAAGGCATTTTGAATTAGTCATGTGACGCTCAGCAGGTTGGGAACAAAGATAACAGGCTCTGTTTTATCATGCAAAGGAG